GACAGAGGAGGGAGGGGCGGGGAGGCTCTTCCCGTGCAGCGCTTCAAGAGCTGACCTGCGTCTGACCTCAAAGTGCACGAGAGACCAACTTCAGCGTTGGCTGCGATTTTGAAGCTGAAATCGCGTTCGGTGTGAACGCAGCATTAGAAATTCAGATTTTAAATTACTAACTTACAGTATATTTTCACCCTGCGTCTCCAAACAGGGATCTCAAAGATTGTTGCAGGATCGCAATCTGGCTRCTTAAAAGAAGGTCGATCCACAACAATATTAGACTGGTAATGGACTTAACTGAATATATGTCTTTATTATTTTCTTAGACTTTTATAAAGCCTTCGACTCTCTGGATCACAAATTTTTATTTTCAGTTCTTGAACATTTAGGTTTTGAAGAAAAATTTATTAATTTAATAAGAGGTCAATATCAAAATATTAGTAGTTGTGTAAATCTACCTAAAYGCACTTCTTCAAGATTTAACATTAATGTTGGAATTCCTCAAGGGTGTCCTATTTCCCCATACCTTTTTATCTTAGTTGCAGAAATGTTGGCAATCTATCTAAAAAACTGTCCAGACATTTTGAAATTAGACATGTTTGGTACAGATGCTGTCCCAAACAGCTTAAGTAAGACTATCAATCAAATGAACATGAACTTCATTTGGAGAAYCAGACCACACTACCTAAAAAAAGCTGACATCGTCAAAGAAATTAAAGATGGGTGTCTGAAAGTAATTGATTTTGAGTGTCTTAATTGAACCCTAAAGATTAATTGGTTGAAATCCTGGATAAAAAWCTGAATTATTTTGGTATTGTGTCCGCAATTATGTTTTTAACAAAACATGTGGTTTAAAACTAAAAAAATGGACTGTACTTAAATAGCATCTTTCGATCCATCCAGGACACTCAAAGCACTTTACACCAACAGACATTCACCCATTCACACACTGATGATGGTAAGCTACATTGTAGCCACAGCTGCCCTGGGGCACACTGACAGAGGCGAGGCTGCCACACACAGGCGCCACTGGACCCTCTGACCACCATCAAGGTGGGTAAGGTGTCTTGCCCAAGGACACAACGACTGAATTGACTGGACGGGGATTGAACCGGCGACCTTCCGGTTCCAGGACGGTTCCTCTAACCACTCCTCCACCCCAAAAACTAAAACTACTACTTCTAACTGATTTCATTATATACAAATTGCCCATTAAACTATCAGAGTTACATAAACAAGTGTAGCTATACTGGAAAATGCTCCATGTACATAATTACTCACCACACTGCACGATATATGGAATAACAGGTTCATACTATATCACAATAAATCATTATTTTTACAAAGATTGGATGGAGAACAACATTTGGTCTTTTGTTCATGGATACTAATGGTTACATATTAAACTATGATCAATTTTGTGTGAAGCATAAATTCTATCCCCCCAAAATGGACTTTACCAGATTATTTAAAGCATTACCAAAACAATTTATTAGTCAAACTCAAAATATAACAGCATTTCATCCCATAACCCCACAATTAGCCACTCTATCTATTAATGGTNATTGTGTCACTTCACTTTGCACAGACAAGTATTAAGTCATGAGAAGAAACCTTGGTAAAATTTTCTCTTATAACTTGGTTATAAGAAGTGTAAGATAAGTTATTTGCATAAATAACCGTCTCTTACACTAAAATATCTCTAAAACAACAATGACAATAGTGTCCTTTCAAAAACTGGTAACAGCTCCCAACATGACTCTTGACAGCCTCTTACTTCCTTCAAATGTTTTGTTTTCATCCAGCAGAGTTGGATTTTAATGCTTGATCCATGTTTTCCCCTGATTAAACACCTTAAAAGGTGGGGGAAAAATAACAACTGTGCAGTTTGGGTCCTGCTAAATGTTGCTTATGACTCTTAATTTGGGGTTTGGTTAATAATTAGACTCAGTTTATTGTCATTTAAAACTATTACATGATGAGAGGGAAACCAAGAATTTGGTTTGTGCTACTATGACAATACAACAAAATAAGCAATAAAACTACGTAGATAAAAAATAAAATAGTTGATCACAGATAAATTCAATAAAGCAGGATCTCATCTTGTAAGAAAATTCATATTCAGTAAACTGAAGTCGATATTAAAACACCATTGTTAAATAAATTGATTTGTAGAAGGAATCAAAGTACCATACAACACCAGAATTCTGGATCTGAGTGTGTTTTATTGTCACTCAAGCTGACAGGAAACCAAACCTGCCAGAAAACCATGAAGTTCATATACATACGTATGCACTGTATATATCCACCTTCTTCAATGCCTGTGTTTGCCCCCTACTGACCTACGGCTGAATCACAGGCATTCAGACAAAATCCTCAGCTACTGTCATCACACCGGTTGATTATGTGTTGTTGTCACATATTTCGGACATGTAACTAATCTATATCAATCAAAACATAATAGATTAAACTCTGTCAACATTACAAAAAGGAAAACCTAAGAATATAGTGTTGTACTTTTAACATCAGTACTAACCTCTAATAACTTTCAGTTTCTTCAATCTAATGAAATAAGTAAACAAATTCTACACAGGGCTTTGATTTACTTCGAATTTAATATTTTTGACTGATGATGATGAAATGTCCCATGAGCCTTTGCTACCCAAGTGTACATTAATTTTTCTCCAAGTGCACAGGCTAAAACAAACAAACAAACAAACAAACAAACAAATGAGACATGGGCCACCTCACTGGCAGCGAGCTTAATTATACAAAAAAAAAATAAATAAAGGACTTTAAAAGTATTTGTATTTCATGTATTACAGTACTGCATTCGGCCCTCTCCTCTCCAGGAAAAAGTTTGAGCATTTAACAAATTTAACAAAATCTAACAATTGCCTAAATTAAATAAATTTAGTTGTGAATAGAAAACCAGTCTGAATTTAGTGGGCTTCAGTAAGCTGGTTGTTGTAGCTACTGATTGTACAAGACTTCAGGTCAATTGCAAAAACAATTTTTTAAAAAGTGGCCAATGTCAGCTTCTTAAAATCAATCAGTAGATTAACTGGTCTATCTGTATTTAAATACTTAGGTTGGTTTAATTAGTTTGTTTTCCTTGCAGTCCAGCATGTAAAATCGAAGTACCTGAGCGTCTGACAGTGAGTTACGAAGCTTTGGTCAGGAATGCACTCGCCGATCGCTGCGTCTCTGTTCCTGTCCGTGAGGCCACGGACGCAGAGATTCTGCTGGTCCACAGGTCAGAACTGATGGAGCTGTGTTAGAGTTCATGAAAAGGAAAGAAATGAGCTTATTCCTGTTCTAACAGTGAGGAGTACCTGGAGGCAGTGAAAAAGACTCCTTATATGACTCTGGAGGACCTGAAGGAATTCACCCGTCAGTACGGAGACGTCTACTTCCACCCTGTCAGTCCCACACTCGGTGTCCAACATCTGTCCACAACAGACCTTCAGTTTGTGCTGATCTCTTTGTTTCCTCTTGGTAGAACATTTATCACTGTGCCAAGCTGGCTGCAGGCTCTGCGCTGCAGCTGGTGGACCATGTTGTGACTGGGCGGGTCAGGAATGGGATGGCTCTAGTCAGGTGAGACTGGGAACCAGGAAGAATATCTGTTTTTCATGCTCTAGCTCAGGAGTCTGCAACATTTACAATCAAAAGAGACATTTCTGCCCCCTGATTCACTAAGAAAAATATGTCCTTAGTCGCAAAATGTGCTACAACTGTGATGATCAACTGGTGGCCCGTGGGCCAGTTTGAGTTCTTTGAAGGGGGCGTTTTCAGCCAGTGTAAACAGACATTATAAAACAAAACATATCCATTGAATTTTACAATTTATCATTATTTCTACATTTTGGGACAAAATAAAAGACCGTATTTATGTAAACAAACAAAAAATAATAATTAAAATATTTAACTTATACCGAATTTAATGAGAAATAAAACATTAAACCACGCAGAAATATGGTGTTCCCCCCC